GACTCTGTTTGCCCCTGCCTGGACTATTGCGGCGTACCTGGATTATCTCTCTTTGCCTTGCCCTGTTGGATATTGTTCTGATCACGTCTGTCCTTGGAATACTCTTGTGTCTTGCCCGTGCCATACCTGTTTGCTGGTGTTTCGACCCTGCCTGTGTTATTGACCACGTCTCTGTCTAATAAAGCTTGCAAATGGATCTGCACGTCTCTCGTCTCGTTCGCCCGGTTACAATATGTTGTAAAATATCTATTTATCATCTATATTAAATATATACATTAATATTGTATATTAATAACATGTTTATTATCTGTATTTATTTATTTATTTATTGCATTAAACTAATGAGAATGTGAATTTTTACATTACAATAATGAATATACAATGCTAAATTCCTAATGGTCCTTAAAATAGGCTTTTTCTGCAGGATTATTTTTATACTAAAAATAGTATACATTTAAAATAATAATAATAATAATACAATTATAATTTATATACATTTTGGTGTGAAATATGATCTGGGTGTGTTCTTTACAGGTTTATGAGATTCAGTCAAAGAGGGAGGAGAGGCAACTTATTTTCCTCTTGATATAGACTCACACACACACACGCACATATACACACATAGCTCAAAACCCCAAAGATCTGTATGGATTTTTCAGAGAGACACACCAGGCCGCTGTGTGACCCAATCACTGTTTTCCTCAACTTTTGTCTCATTGAGATTCAGATAAAGTTTCCTGATCATGAATGGGGTTATTTTTATTGAACGATATTGTATCTGATGGGAAAGAAATAATTCATTTAATGCATTTCCTCAGATTTTCAGCCAACTCACCAAGTGGCCTGTCCCAGTGTGAGAGCTGGAATTACACGCCTGTGTACACAGGAAATGAATTAAACGCAAACAAAGTAAACAATGAAAAGTTCATTGCGAAATTAACAAAATAATTATCACTAATCAACACGCCGGAGCCAAAAACTCACTCACACACGCACATATTAATGCATGCAGTAAGAGCAGGGTATGTGCTGGATGTCAAGATGAGATCTTCAATTTTAATAGATGGCATTAAAGCATTATGTACAGTTGATTAAGCAGTCAGTGAGGTGATGTTATGAGCTGTTTTCTTGAAGGAAAGAGAGCGCTTTGAACTCCAGGCCAAGAGATTTCCCTCTCGCTCTCTGTGTGTGTTCATATAACAGCTCTCATGTGATATGAGCTCAGAAGATTATTTAATACACATGATTTAAATTCACTTCCTGATGAGGAAACCAAAATAGACATCAATTTCCATAAATGCTTGCAAAAAAAAGGTTGCAAATGCATTCAAAAATATCCATAATACACTTGATTTACACGCTGCCAAAAACTAAAATAAATCTTGATCGTGACAAATGCAATGTGAATTTTTTTGTCAGGTAACTTCTTGCTGTAACTTTAATAAGCTTGTTTTATTCATTTAAAAAAATGCACAAATTATATTTAAAAGTCAGCTCAGATATTATATTTCCTTATGGTAAAAACCTACACATTTTCACTCTTAAAAGCATGCTTTTGAATTTTTTTATTTGAGCGATGCTAATATATATATATAGTATACATTATTTTTATTAAGAAATATACAAATATTTATATATTGTATAAAATAATTAGTAATAATAACAGTCATAATAATAATAATAATAATAATGATGATTATTACATTGTAGAAATTCTATTTATCAATAAATTAATAAAAAAACAAAATGCATATATTTGATTCAATTTTATTGTACATTCTTATAAATGTACATACATATAAATGTTGTTGTATGTCTCTTTTGCTTATATTTTTCCAGTCTGGATTAAGATTAGTTGTATTCATCTTACAATGCAGACCCATAACAAGCTTTGAAATTTGTTGTGAAATGTCTGATCGCTAACCGTGAGGAAGTCGGTGAGTTCACTGTTAAGAAGTTCCTTCAGTTCTCTTTTACTGAGTTTGTATTTGTCTCCCTCGCTCCCTGAGTAGTTGTGAAAGACCGTGATGAGTGCATCCATGGCTCCCTCCAGTTTACTGGGCATTACTGCTGCAGAGCACCTGTGGAGCAGGTATGACACATCCAGTTCAGACTGACCCGCTGCTGGGCAAACATAACTATTTTATGACTATATTTATTAACAAACATTTCAAAAGTATCAGAGTATTTTTCTGGACATAGCAGCATGTCAATACTAGGGCACATTAATATAAAAAACATTCAGTACCACAATGGTACTCACACAGCCAAATGACAATTTTTTGCAATTAAAAGAGATTAAAATAATTAAGTAAATAAGTCAGTTCCAATAAGTTATCAGCCTTCTTTCAAATATGAACTGAGTTCTAAAGTTTGTTGGCAAAGAGAAAAAAGTGTCTTACCTTGTTGAAAGCCGAGAAGTGAAATTCTGTGTTCGTGAACAAACTGTATTCAAGAGTGGGTGAAGTTGTTTTTGAGGTAACCTGTGCAGGAAAGACCCTCCTCTGTTGTTGTGACGATGTATGATAGCTCAGGTGATGCACCATAGTAACCCTTCCACACACCTGCACTGAAAACACACTCCAAATAAAAGAGCAAAGGCCTCCTGAGAGCCCTCCATACACACACACACACACACACACACACACACACACACACACAAAAATTAACATTAGCTTTTCAAATTTTTTTGTATTCAATCTATTTGTTTTCTTTTTATTTATTATACAATTAACAAAAGCAAAAAGGCCTCTAACACTAGCTTGTTGAAAGCCGAGAAGTGAAATTCTGTGTTCGTGAACAAACTGTATTCAAGAGTGGGTGAAGTTGTTTTTGAGGTAACCTGTGCAGGAAAGACCCTCCTCTGTTGTTGTGACGATGTATGATAGCTCAGGTGATGCACCATAGTAACCCTTCCACACACCTGCACTGAAAACACACTCCAAATAAAAGAGCAAAGGCCTCCTGAGAGCCCTCCATACACACACACACACACACACACACACACACACACACACACACAAACTAACTTCACTTTTATGAGCAATTTTTGCTCAATGTTTTCTAATCTATGGTGCTTTTGTGATTTTAGGTGGATGTATGAAGTCAGTTGTCAAAGGTGTCCTACAACAGTTCATCATATTAACTATAAACATGATCCATTAAAGCACTGCAAACACAGTTTCCAAATATTTTTCTTCATTCATCATTTAAAATCTAACATTAGCTTTTTTTTGCGATAGATTTCATTTGAAACTTGTGCTTGTGCCATTTTCCTTTAAAATAAATGACCATAATCATTTAATGCAATGACATTTATACACAATCGTTGAGAAGTTTGGGGTCTTTTTTAAAGAAATTAATACTTCATTAAGCAAGAATGCATTAAATTGATAAAAAATGACAGTGAGGACACTTATAGTGTTTCAAAAGATTTGCATTTCAAATAAATGCTGTTCTTTTGAACTTTCTATTCATCAAAGAATCCTGCAAAAAAAATTCACCATTTCCACAAAAAAAAAAAAAAAAGAATCAGCACAACTGTTTTCAACATGGATAATAATCAGAAATGTTTCTTGAGCAGCAAATCAGCATATTAGTATGATTTCTGAAGGATCGTGTGACTGAAGACTGGAGTAATGATGCTGAAAATTCAACTTTGCATGACAGAAATAAATTCCATTTTAAAATATATTACAATAGAAGATAGTATTTTAAATAGTAATAAATAACAATTTTCTGTTTTTAAACAGTATTTCTGATCAAATAAATGCTGCATTGGTGATCAAATGAAACCATTAAAAGATGTTACTGACCGCAAACTTTTACTAGGCTGATTAACTAGCTTACCCAGCAAGATGTTCTTGGTCAACCTGCATCACCAGAAAGATTATGCTGGTTGACCAGCACCAAACCAGCCATAGCAAGCATAAACCAGGAAATTCATGCTTTCAAGAGTGAACTAAAGTAGAACAGAAGCTAGAAAAATGCAAAGCATTAAACGAGAAAGGAACAAGACGATGTGATTTTAAACATTATTTCTTTATGGGAAATGCCTTTGTGATTATGTTGATGGAGATGGCATGACATTTTGGTACCTAAATGTCAGAGGCCCCCAGGCATCTCTGGGACCCCTCTGTACACTGCCTGCCCCATGTCAAAAGGGCCCACCCCTGTGTGTCAATACGGCTGGAGTCATGGAATCTGACATCTCACATGATTTGAGTTGATTCATGTCTGCAGCACGAATGGTACAGGTTTAATTAAATATGATTAGGCGGAAGCTTTCCTTATCAAGTCCCTCTAAAAGCATTTCATCAGCATCTCTGTCATAGACGCATACAAAAGAGCTCTAATTCTGGTCATTAAGTCATTGCAACTGATCCAATAACAAGACCTATTACTTCTGCCTGGGGAATGAGAGAGTGAGCGACAGAGAAGATTCTGTACTTGGCTTATCACTTGGTTACCATATTATAAGCACGCTCCTAGTCCTCAGTTATGTCGTCTGAGCTTTAAAAGTGTATTTTTGTGACTTTGCAGCCCCCTACACCTACAGTTAACTGTTGTAAATATATCACTGTCATAATTACCCTTACCAAAAAGTAGTATACTTCAAGTTTATTTTAGTAAGTATACTTAAGTAAAGGCGGAAAGCTGTTCACGTGCATTTGTTGCGGCCGTAAAGCAATCCGCACTTTTCGCGAATTTCGTACCCGCTCAACATTCCCTCAAAACAAATGTTTGGGGAGAGCGCGGGAAAGAAATTGAGGCCATTCTCCATATTAGAAGTCAGTGTACTACCAGGATGATTTGAAAACTGACCTTTCAAGATAAACTAGTTGTCAATGTTTTTTATCGTTCATAAGCCAGAAAAATCATTCGGAAAGTGATTCTAACTATATAGTTCCTCTGTGGCATTATAGTTATAATTGTGATGTGGACATTCCTATTCTCATGGAATTAACGATTATTAAAAATGTATAGTTATCTCCCTGGTCGCACACATCACGGAGATGTCTATTTGACATCTGCAAGACATATTAGAGTGTTTCTGCAATACGTCTATAGGACGTTTCCTATCAGACGTCAAATAGACGTTTAGAAAATGTCTTTAAGATGTTTATGGTTTAGAATGTATGTAAAACGGACATCTCAAAGACGTCTATCAGATGTTTGTGCACAGCAGATGCTTTCCAGATGAAGCGATCTTTAACAGACATCTTGCAGACGTAGGTGTGCTATCTGGCCAGTTATCAGTGCATAAAGGCTTATAGTTGTTTACAGTAGCATATACACATTGTCTGTACATCTACACAGACAATCTATTTTTCCAGGTAAGAGTATTTTGCTCCCATAACTAACCCATAATGCTAATTTAAATAACCTAATTCCCACAAAAGTAATCTGCACAGGTAAATAAATATTGTGATGGGTCTGTTGTAGTGTAAATTCCTGAACAGCAAATGTGAAATGTCTGCATCATACTGCATGTTAATAGCTGGATGCTAGAATTTATTAACAACTCACTGATGATGATGATGATGATGATGATGAGCAACTTAAACAGCTACAGGACCGGACAGCTAATCCTGGTGCTCCTTAAAGCTCTTTCCAGCAATTCAACTGGGCTAAAACCTCCGTCAAGCTGTAGTGGCTTTGACTGAGCATCTGTGATGAGAAACAATGCCAGTTCAAGTCTCATCAGAACACAAAAATGCTGTAAACACTCTGAAACTTCACTTTTTATGTTAAAGGAAAAGTTCACCCAAAAAAGAAATTTGCTGAAGAATTTATTCACCTTCAGGCTAACCAAGATGTAGAGTTTGTTTCTTCATCAGAAAAGATTTGCTCTTTTGCTCACCACTGGATCCTCTGCAGTGAATGGGTGCTGTCAGAATGAGAGAACAAACAGCTGATAAACACATCACAATAATCCACAAGTAATCCACACCACTCCAGTCCATCAGTTAATATCTTGTGAAGTGAAAAGCTGCGTGTTTGTAAGAAACAAATCCAACATTTTTTTACTTTAAACTGTTGCTTCCAGCTAAAATACGAGTGCTCTATCCATAAAATTGATTTCTCCAGTGAAAAAGTGGTCTGGTCTGAATCAGATGTGAAATATACACAGATCAAGCACCGTTTACAAGTGAAAACAGTCCAACAGTTCTAAATGAATAATTCTAAATGGCTTTTGAAATGAGAGGACAACAGTGGATGGACTATGGGGGAACATTATTATGGATTATGGAATTGTATTTTGGCCAGAAGCAACAGTTTAAAGTTAAAACGCCTTGATGGATTTCTTACAAACGCAGCTTTTCGCTTCACAAGACGTTAAATGATGGACTGGAGTGGTGTGGATTACTTGTGGATTATTGTGATGTCTTTATCAGATGTTTGGACTCTCATTCTGACGGCACCCATTCACTGCAAAGCATCCAATGGTGAGCAAGTGATGTAATGCTCAATTTGATCTGAATCGGTTCCAATAAAGAAACAAACTCATCAACATCTTGGATGGCCTGAGGGTGAATACATTTTAATTTTTGTGTGAACTATTCCTTTAATGCAAAAACGTGTATACATTGTTATGCAATATAAATGAACAGCTGATTTGAAAATTAAATGTACTCATTTCAAACCTGCATGCATTTTATTTGATAAAACTATAAAGAATATATTTTTATACTTTATATGTTCTTGCTGGAATACAGTGTCAATGCAAATGAATCACGATCATTTATATGCACTGATATGAATAGCTTACATATCAGTTAATAGCTTAAAAAATGACACGCTTCACCTTAAGCATTAAAGCACTGCATCTCATGTCAATCAGCCTGTAAGTGACTCATAAATTATTCATATTTTTATTCAGTATTTGTATCCAGACTTTCACACAGATTTCTGTGATTTATTAATGCATCCTGTACTAACAGTTAGTTTACAGATATATACACTGAAAACAAATCATATAAATCAAAAAATGCTGTTGTCCCTATCATGGTGGAAGATTTATTTATTTTTTTGCGTGAGAAGTGGATCATTCATGACTCCATAGAGAGCAGCTCAGTGGCCGGCTGCCCTGTCCTGCTCTCAGCTTCTTTCTGTTCGAACAAACCAACTTTATTCTGTAGAGAGATTTATGCATGACCACAGTGACACCCAACTGCAACTTCCTGGTCTGAAAAATGTCAAAATATAAAAAAGGGCTTTTCATCTCTGTGAAGGCCTGACAGAAAAGCTATGATTAATGAGAGACAGAAAGAGAAAAAGCGAGAGCTGCACAGCCCTACTCATCCTTATACAGAGATGGGTTGTTTATGATGCATTTTCTACTCAAGTCTAGCCAGACAAACATATGAATATTAATGGAAATGTTGTGCAATGTCAGTTTATGTAAATGTCATGCTAATTAATTTATATTAATAGAAAGTTTTGGAAGGTGCA